GTCTTATCTGAACAGATGACATTAACGCAGCCTAAGGTTTCTACAGTGGGCAATTTCTTCACTATGCAATTCCGTTTTGCCATACGCATCACACCTAAAGCCAAAGTCACGGTGACTACGATCGGTAAGCCTTCAGGTATTGCTGCCACTGCCAACGAAACGCTGATATTAAACATATCCACCAATGGTTTGCCCTGCAACCATCCTAGCAGCATAATTACTCCTATTATGATGAAAGAATAAAAGCTAAGCTGGGCTCCTAATATATCCATTGATTTTTGCAATGGAGTTTTCGGCGACTCTTCCGCCTGCATCATTTTAAACACTTCACCAAACTCACTGCGTTCACCGGTGCTGACCACAATACCTTTTCCATTGCCACATCTTACCAAAGTGCCCATGAAAGCTATATTCTTCATATTCGTATGATCCTTATTAACCGCACTATTCAACAACAATTCAGTGCATTTGCGAGCAGGTTCTGTTTCGCCAGTAAATGAAGATTCATCGATAGACAAGTCGATAGCCTCAAATAATCGTACATCGGCGGGCACACGATCGCCTACATTTAAATGAACCACATCGCCCGGGACTAGTTCACGCGCTAAAAACGTGTCCAAATGACCTTCTCGCAGGCAATGACACTCCGGCGGTACTAATTTTTTCAGCTCTTCCAAACTCTTCTCGGAACGATACTCTTGAATAAAAGCTACCGTCACCACTATAATGATGGCTATTGTTATGCTTACGGCATCGTCAAATTGTCTCATGCATATGGAAACCACAGCAGAACCCAGTAGTAATAATATTAAAGGATTACGAAATTGCTCTATGTATTTCTTCCACGTAGGATCCTCTTCGATAACATTAAGCTCATTGTGACCGATAATTTTGGCTCTATATTTCGCCTCTGTCCATTTAAGGCCAGTCCGTACGTCCACCTGCAGCCGCCCAGCCACTTCAGAGGCACTATATGTTGAAGATTCAGCAGTTGTTAATAACATTTCGTGGGTTAAAGTAGACCCCGTCTGAAAAATGAACAAAAAAGAAATATTCCATTAATTACTTACGAAGCCTGAATGCGTATTCTAAAAAGTATATATCGAAAAGAAGGAAAGTATGTAGAAATCTCCAATCACAGCACCGTAATTTAATGTAATATGCAATCATCCTGCGCTTATATAGTGTAACAAAATATTTAGAGAATATTTTCACACAACGGGTAGATAATCGATTTTGAATGTTTTCTCTATTGGTGGGGTATCCGGTGTTATGAATTATTTTCTTTTTCGATGACGTAAAATCGCATAAATCTCCTTTGTAAGCTCTTTTCGCAAATGATAATACTTTTTGCATATTCTTAAATTATTAGCTGAAAGAAATCGATGACATAAGAGTCAATTGTATCGCATAAATAAGAAGCGCGACTTTTAAAGAGAACACAAAAGTTGAGGTAAAAGATAGAAAAAAAAACTTTTCTATTCTACTTGGGATAATAGAAGACTCGACTGATCGGAGGCAGAGCAAGCTGATGACAAAAAGTAGGTTCTGTGAGGGGACATTTCAGACCATAATTTGGTTTCTTCCTATGGTTGTTCACGTCATTCTCCCAGATAGGAAACTACAAGGAGTGCTTGTCACTTATTGTGTAAGTAAAGGTGTATAACTCAGAGGCTCATATTGAATTATTTAATTCGACATGACCTACACGTCAGCAACAAATGAAGCGTTTATTTTGAGCGGACCATTTTCTGTTATTCCGAGACATTTCAAATATATATAAATTTTTATATCCTACAGCACTTGGGATACAAAGGTATGTTTAGTCTGTGCAGATGTTCGCAATACGAGTTGAATTAAATCCACCTTTTATTATGCTGATCGATGCTGAACCTGATTCTAAGCTTGTCTGCCCATCTTATTATTTTGTATTCAACGTGTAGATCGTGTAGACGAAATATGGTACACTAACGTCTTTTGATCCAAGGGCGAACGCTATTGAAAAAGGCTAGGATCGGACCATTTTTTCCCCTATAACGGCTTATTTTGAAATGTTATTACATACCGAATAACTGTAGAGTAGTGCAAGATATTTAAAGGCGAATTGTGACCCACCCTAGCATTTTCAATGCTTGTATTTTGTGGTATTCTATAATTTGGGTGCTAATACTCCCAATTAAAAAGAACAACGGTTTTTTTAAAACTTAAATGAACTCGCCTTGAACTTTCAACATCAATGAACTATTATAACCAGAACTTAAAGATATTTCAATTGAATCTATCTTATTTTTAAGATATACAACGAACTGACTTTCCAAATTGTCATTTCTATCACTCCAAAAATCGCGATCGCTTGACAAGAATGAATGTCCTGACAATAAAACATTTATATCACTTTCATTAGACTGAAGAATTTTTATTCGCATTAAGATGAACTTTATGTTTTATTAATAATTATCACTATTTTATTTTTATTTATTTTTTTATTTATTTTTTTGAAAAATAGACTTGCCCCGTTATTCGAATTAAATGGGTCATGTCATTAGATTAGGAAAACCCAATTCGTATATGAAATCGTTCTCGTCGTTAAAACCCAACATGATGTGATGGTTCTTCTATCTCCTTCTCCCACTTATAAAACTCTAATATTACTGTTGCCGGCGAATTTTTGACTATTTGGGATATTATCGAATCTGATTTGTTTGAGGCGTTAGAAAACACGTACGTTTCCTAAGAGAACGTGCTAAGACAAGCACAAACCCAATCTACGCTTAACTACTTAGATAATATTTAAATTCCTTCTAATAAAAAAGCAAAATAAAAGTCGGGCAGGGCCGCTCATTAGATGCTTTACACCAATTCGCCGAATACAGTAATTTACTCATTTTGGTACTAATGCACCGCAAAATATGCATTATTTATATCCATAGGCATACTTTTCATGAAAGCTCGCACATTGGAGGATCCCCAAAACATCATCTCACGTAATCCAAATTCATCAAACTTTATTTACATCCTAAAAAATTTTTAATATTTGTCAGTTCCAGTCATTGGAAACCGGAATTTAGACTTTCTTTCCATATAAGGGCTTGTTTTTTATAATAACCCCTGTACATGTTGAAACTAAGAATAGACCTAGTTGACCCAAATTTCCGATTATCAATTTTTTTTGCTTAATTTGTTGCTATAGATTAATTTTCAATATAAAATATTAAGAATCAAACATTTTTCTGAGGGGGTTAATGGCCGCGAGAAATATTATACGAAGTGGAACGCAAGAAATAGACCCATCTGGTGCACCTTTGGTCCACTTAATTTTTATCTCAAATTACCCTGAATGAACAGACTTTCACCGCAAAATATTAACAATAATTAGGCATTTTTGGCATGTAAGGATTTACATTTCATGACAATCCTTATGAATGGTGGTATCCAAAAAATAGACATATGTAGTTCGAATATGTTAGGGTTGATCTCTTTTTCAATCTACTATTACGAATCAATTTTCACCATAAAATATTAAAAATTAGATCTTTTTACCATACAAAGATTCACCTTTTGTAGGCACGGTTATATGAGAGGAGGCGCCAAAAACTGCTCCACCCAAATCAAGTTTTTTATACCAATTTGGAATTTCGAACGGCTATTACTCATTGAGTTTTGTCGAAAAATTTTGAAAATTGCATATTCTTTTTTTCTTTTTCAAATAAAGCATTGTGTGAGGAATGGTCGAAAAAGTGGACGGATTCCAAACATTTTAAATCGCATTTGTGCGTGGCTCAAAGCACGTCACTGTACCAAATTTCATCAAAATATCTCAAAAATTGCGACCTGTAGGTGGGACACACAAATACATGGACAGACATGCTTAGAAATTTACTCTGAATCGATCGATATAATTAAAGGTGGGTTTATCTTAAGACCTTCAGGGTGTTACATACGTCCGCACAAACTTAATACACCCCGTATCATAAGTAGTACAGAGTACAGAAAGTATTTAAAAACTAGCTTATTATTCTTTGCCATTGTATGGTATGGTAAATACTTATTTCTAATTTTAGTGGAACAAAGGAGGACGTTACCAGATTCCTTATAGTGTTTAACATCCGCACCTGGCGTTAAACCTTGGTCAGACGAATCGCCCACAACCAGCAGCAAATAGAATGTTCAATTAGGGGCCCTCAACGGCAGTAAAACAATCCCTATCGAAGGAAGCCTTACTACCCTGAGGAGCTGAATTAGAGATATGGGTCGTTTTCTCGGTCACTGGTTTTGGAAGGGCTGTACCCAAACAGTCAGGTAAGAAGATGGATGCATATTTCTGCCAGGAGCAATCCTACTTTTGGGCAATCTGACCGTCGTGGACATTCACAATTTTTATCGCTTATCGCTCGCACAGAACTTTCACCATGCTATATAGCTTTGGGTGATCTCTTACTGTACGCAGTCGTAACCGCTCTTGCCTTCGCACTCTCTACATATTCCGGTAGGCCACCCAAGCGCTGTCCTTTTTCGAGGAAATAACGCTTGCAAGGTTGCCATTACATAGCAAACACCCGGCTGTGCACCAGCCCTCTTAAATGCCGCCATTATGCGGTATGATGACATCCATAAAAGAGTACCAAAAGGGAGAAGAAAAATTGCTCTCTTTTCTTCGGATACACCTCTTAGGCTATGGACGTTGCCAGTAAGATTTCGCTATTAGCAGTAATCGGATTTTTAAGGGATTCAGGTCGAGCATTTTGTCGATGAAATAGAAGTAATTAAGGTTAGCCATAGAATCTGAAGAAACGCACCAGAATTTCTCAATAATAATTAATTTATCATGATAATAATATAATTACAAAAACTTGTATTTAATGAAAAAGAGAAAATGCATTAGTTTTTTTTTGTTTTTGTACGCTCTTCTAGGCAAACTCAATAAAGAGACTAATTGTGTTTTTTTTGTGCTTTTATCTCAAACTAAGATTCTACTGGAAACCTTCACACTTCTTTAAGCTAACATAAAGCATTTAAGAAAATTTATTTTCAATTTTTTTATAAAATTATGCTTTGTAATTAGTTTATTCTTAAACGCTTCGAAGCTGCGCTACAAAAACAAATTCTAGTGTTACAAATATAAATCACATTCTATACGTGATTAGTTTTATCGAAGACAAAAAATATCTGCACCACCACTGCACACAGCAGTATAGAAAATTATATTAATTTTGTTGTTATATTTCTAAAGTACTGACACACGTATCAGGAGAATAGAGTATAGATAGTTTTTGTGAGCGTGAAATTTTAAAGCAAGAATTGTGCCTGATTTTTGCATTCCTTTCTTTATCTGTTCGTCTAGTCTTTGAATGCTTCAGAGCGTCTAATTCCAAAAGAGAATTAAAGATCTGAAGTAAATATTCTTTTATTTAATTTCGATCCATAGATAGTGCGGACGTATTCTTCTTATGGGGCGCATACTTTTTAATGGATTAAAAGGCATTAAATATTCGCTTCTAGCCAAATACAGTTTTCTCGTTGTGTTTCTGTCAAGTATTTCGCATAAAGTTGAATTTTAGTCACGTTCTGCTATTTAATATGCCAAACGCACTAAAAAGGGATTTCAAAGTCATGTGTAACAGTCACTATCTTATCGTTGATAATGTCCCACCGACGTGCCACAGTCTAATTACATATCACAAACATAATATTCGGACCATTTTTTATGCAAGAAAGCCAACAAATGTAACAAAGCAAACAAACACTATAAAAAGATTTTCATTTTCTTTTTAATTAGTCAAGGCAAGCTCCAACCTCCATCCTCCATTAGAGTAGTTGCCTCACCATGATGTCTATTAATAAATTTTTGTAAAATGTTTGCCGTGCACAGAAATGTGCATCATAGACTCTATAACATTTCTTTTTCATGCTTTTTAATTAACAAGAATAGTTGAATTGATTTAGTAATGACTGTCTGTCTTTTTGCTGATTAAAACTACAATTACGACCTTAAAATTTAGTATAAACAAATAAATTTGACTTTAAATTC